CATGTTTTGTTGAAAATCTCAGTAATTCTTCGACGTGAACATTCGAAAAAAACAAAGGTGGTGGGATAGGGTAAAAAAGTATATCATTCGACTCGGTTTTTGACGCTAATTCCGAATATGACATTTTTGTTGCATAAAAAATGAGTTCTGATGGAGAAAATAGAGAATTACGGGCAGAATTCCGATTTTTTCGCTTCTGATTCAGAAAAGTGTACTTTCTCAGGAATGAAACAAATTTTTGAGAAAAGTGAGGCGTTGTTTTGAAGAGGAGCATCCGGTTCGTAAGCTGAAGGTCCAGAGATCGATACTCTGTGTTCGTTTCTCTTATGTTCTATTTAGAAAATCCTGCCAAGATCCTGTCAAGAAATCTGACCACATCCTCGCAGAATCCTACAGAAATCCCGTAATGAGTAATAGGAAAACTTTTCAATTAGAAATCGTGGAAATCTTGAAAGGATCCTGATCTAAAACCGACGGAAAGCTACTGAGGATCCTTCCAAGATCTTATTCTAATCTTGTTAAAATCTTTGATATTTCGTGGCTACCTACTTCTTCCAGGAATTGATGGTTTCCTGTTCCGATTCCTGTATTAAAATGTAATGATAAACTGCGGAGGATCCTGGTAAAATTCTGTTATGAATCCTGTAGGGATCCTGAAATTCCGTGGCTACACATTTCTTTCAGGATTTTATTCCTCGGAAAAAAACAGCGAATTCTTTCAGGATCCTTGGAGGATCTGATAAGGATCTAGCCCGGAAAGCTCCAAGATTTTTCCTAGGTAGCTACAGATCATTATCGTAGACCACTGACTTCGCCACTATATTTCAGAGAGTAGCTGTTATTAGACTATATGAAAGAGAAGACTCCAAAGATTATGCATACACAAAAGTTCTTGCAATCAGGGTAAATTAACCATGAAGCGAAGCAATCAAGACAAAACGTTTTTTGGTGTTGTTATTACGGACTTTCACTGTACGTCAAAAAATTTTGAAGTAGATAAAGTCTCGCTTTTTCCCCCGTGACGAGAGTCCAAGGGAGTATAAGGCAGCACAGGGGAGTACAAGGGGAGTATGAGGGAAGTACGAGGAAAGTAGGAGAGTACGAGAGTCGCGCTTTTCTCCCCTTGGGTCTAAAACAGTTAAAAGAGATACATGAATCTTGATTTACTAGTGTTATAATGTTAGTTTATTCTTCAAACATGCTCGGAAAAGATATAGGGAAACGCAAGTAGAACGCACCCATGTTCATCAAGATGTGAGATAATCGACCATCCTCGTCCATTCGGGAAACATTCCAGTATATTTAGCGCTTATGTAAAATACATTATTGACTCCCTTCAGTCCAAGTGTTTCGATTTCACGCTGAATTTGACTCTTAAATCCTTGTTGCTCATTCTCATCCACTAGATCATATTTGTTAACAACAATATCATATGTTAAATTAATCTCATCCAAAAGTTTCATCATACTGGAATTTTCTTTGATTGATGACTGAATTAGAATGACACGTCGTGTTAATCCTTTGAAGAAGGATATGTATTCCATAGTCATATACATTGTTTCATCATTTCGACCAGCAGCATCCCAAAGAGTAAACTGTGTTCCTTGGTATGGCGTGATTTTTGTTGTTGTTTCACCAACCCCTGTTTCAGCAACATTTTGTCCAAGAAGACTATTGAGTAAAGTTGATTTACCGGTTGACGTTAAACCAAGAAAGCCAATATTTCTGCCTTTCATCTCGATTGGATCGGCTTTTTGCGCCAACTCAATCAAAGCTTTCTTCGTTTCTGTATCTTGTTCGGCAAGATCCGTGAAGGATTTGATCTGCCTGCACCGAATCCTAGTCATAATCTCGATAAAACGCATCGTTAGTTCAGATTGTCGATCGTAATATATACGCAGATCTTCGCGTAGCATCGCATTTTCTCGAGCCTGTTGACCTAGATGAATAGACGGACGATATATAAGATTTCATTTAAAAGAAAGTAAACTTGAATAAAACAATGTTTGGCTTTTTTATTTTGACAAAATAAAACAAACAGTTCTAGTCGAGCTTTTTATTTCATGCACATGCAATCCTTGGAGCAAGAATACTATGCGTCATGGATACATTCTGAGGCAAGACATGATACATTCTGGAAAGCTAAAGCGCTTGCCAGTCTTATTTATATACTTAAATTCTTATGGAAACGTTTGTGCTTCTTGCTCAATCAGGTATAATATACTTGTGCAATGAAAATATGTAACCTTGTTTCCGTGTCTGAACCATTCGTTGGATGATACGTTCATAGTCGTCAAATACTTAACGTTCACAGTGCATAAGTAAACATCGATGAGAAACTAAATATTGTGAATGGTTTTAGAAGGATATGCGGGTGGATGAGGATGTGTGTAAGTATTCAGACATAAAAGATACTCACGCCCTCATAATAGACTGAAATATTCTAAAAACTGGGATCATCATTTCATCTTGGGTAGAAATCATTTTACATATCGTACATTTCATCCGTTATCAACAACATTCTAAATGATGATTACCAAACCCAAATAACTCATTTACTTACCATGATTTTCGCGTGCAACATTCAATAGTTCAGCAGCGACATAGCCAGCAACCACTGGAATGAAAGGTGCAAACGCCATGCCACAGTCAATGATCGTAGTAAATATATTTGTTCGTAGATTAGAAATACTCGAATGAGACAATCACTTCCTATAAATACGTGGTATTGTCGGAAAATTCCGACATCAATACAACTTGGAAATATCCAAGTCCTTTTCTGGATAATTTCCCTACAAAAACACGTCTATTATTACAACGTTACCTTTCTGTCTCAGAACAAACACGAGTTTTGAGCTCAACAACATTTTTTCTTTTCTGTTCTATTCTTCTATATCTTGTATCTCGTACCAGCATGCGTCAAGTGACATGGTTTTTTCCATCTTACACAAAACTTTCTTCGCAGTGGCAGATTTTATGACATGAAAAACAACATTGATATGATTTCGACGCAATTATTTCTAATGAATGGAGTATGATGAAATAAGATTTTTAATGAAAAGTGCGAATAAAAGAACTGCTGATTTGTGAACCAGATGAGATATTTTTTAAATGAATTTCTCAAGTTGCCAGCGACTATTGTCGAACATATTCTGTAGTAGTTGTGACACATCGTAATATCCGTGAACATTTCGTACTTGCAAGCACATAAAGAACAGTAGTGTGACAGAAATGTCGATGTTCATCGTTTACTCTGTGATGAACCTTGAGAAAAAGGGTGTAATATAAACAGGAACCGGAGACAAGTGAGTCAAAATAATTCACATGAACAATACGTGACAAGTACATATACATATATACGAGAGAGAGGTAGTGTACCTCTGACGGATGAGCCACTGATAGCTCACAGTATATTTTGACGAGGAAACTGATTAATAAACCTTTTTTTTCTAGGCAATGAGCGACGACTAGTCCTTTACTTATTCATTCTTTTTCACTGTTTAAATCATTTTATTATTTAGACAAGTGCTTTTCGTTGAAACAATCAAGTCAAACCAATTTGTCATGTGGTGGTGGCAAGTGTATGGAGGGGTAACTGTCCCCGGGCAGCAAGTGTCGCAAGAGCAACTATCCTTGGGGCGCAAATGTCCTGAGAGCAAATGTCTGGTGAGCACCATTTGTGTTATCCTGTACAAAGCTTCGAGTCAAAATTCAAATATCAGTTTTCTTCGTGTTCCTGAGAAGGCTCTTCCATAGCCTTCTATCAAAACAGTAAGATGCACGTAAGGCAAAGATCGAGCAGAATTTAGTTTTCTATATTTTACACACCATTCGATAGAGAATCGCGCGCTGATCCCGGCCTCTCAAAACCGTTTCCTCGCTGAGAAAATTGTAAAATACTATGAAGAGGTCAAAAACCCGGTTTTTCACGCCTTTCTTTAAATTTGACTTTTCTAAGTTTGGTTACAACTTGCAACGTTCAAACTCAGATATTCTTGTTCAGCGTTGAAAGGTGAAATAGAATATAGAATAAAAGCCTTTATATATCTAAACGCCTATTCGCCAAAGACGTTAAAAGCGAAACGACTAAAAAACGGCTCTCATTTTAGCAAAAACGGCAGGTGCTTCCTGGAGAGTCCCGGAGTCAATATTTTTACATAATTAGATTCGCCAGATGCTCCTCTTCAAAACAACGGCTCGCTTTGCTCAAAAATTTGTTTCATTCCTGAGAAAGTACACTTTTTCTGAACCAGAAGCGAAAAAATCGGAATTCTGCCCGTAATTTTCTATTTTCTCCATCAGAACTCACTTTTTATGCAATAAAAATATCATATTCGGAGTTAGCATCGAAAATGGAATCGAATGATATATGGTTCGAAATTTTTCGTTAATTTTCATGTTTTGTTGAAAATCTCAGTAATTCTTCGACGTGAAAATTCGAAAAAAACAAAGGTGGTGGGATAGGGTAAAAAAGTATATCATGCGACTCGGTATTTCTTTTTCTTCTTTCTTCTTCTTTCAGTTCAATGTGAAAGAGAATCGTCTATGTAATGATCCAAAGAAGAAAAAGAAAAGTAAATGTAAATACTGAAAGAAGTAAATGAAAGTAGTAAAAGAGATGTTTTAGCATCATGGACTGAAAAGACCAACGATTACATTCATCGGAGGGCGAACGCGCATGACAATGAAACTATTAAAAGTAGTTTTTAAGGAAATCGAATCGTGTCCAGTATGTTACCTCACAGCTACACTAAAGCTAAAATAAAATCATTTTTTGGCACCAGTCAGATATATCATTTTATTAAATCAGAATCAGCAAAATGACAAATGCGGAAACATCTTGTTTATTTTTCGAAAGCTATTGAGAGAAGAAGTACATAATTTAAAAACAGATGTTAAAAATACTGTCAATTTTATTCGATAGTCATTAATTCATCAGATAGTCGACCATCTTGATCCAGTCAGGGAACATTTCAGGACATCTACTGCTTACGTAAAACACATTATTGACTCCCTTCAGTCCAAGTGTTTCGATTTCACGCTGAATTTGACTCTTAAATCCTTGTTGCTCATTCTCATCCACTAGATCATATTTGTTAACAACAATATCATATGTTAAATTAATCTCATCCAAAAGTTTCATCATACTGGAATTTTCTTTGATTGATGACTGAATTAGAATGACACGTCGTGTTAATCCTTTGAAGAAGGATATGTATTCCATAGTCATATACATTGTTTCATCATTTCGACCAGCAGCATCCCAAAGAGTAAACTGTGTTCCTTGGTATGGCGTGATTTTTGTTGTTGTTTCACCAACCCCTGTTTCAGCAACATTTTGTCCAAGAAGACTATTAATTAGCGTTGATTTACCGGTTGACGTTAAGCCGAAAATGCTAATGTTAATACCTTCCAAGGGCAATGCCTGAGTCAGCCGCGCTAATTCGATAAGGAGTTCAGCCACTTTCTTGTCTTGTTCGGCAAGAGCTTCAAATGAGTCAATCTTCTTTGTTTTCATCTCGTCTTTAAAGTTTTGGAAACGAACCAACAATTCGGTGTTTTCTTGTTGATATTGTTCTACTTTCTCATATAACAGCGAATCTTCTTCCAATTGTTGATTACCCATATGAAAATTCAGAGCATTGCTTTCTAGAAAATGAACGTAGTGGGGAAACTATCAACCGAATTGAATGAAACTCTATCAGTTCCCTAGACTTTCTTAGATTATCTCCTTCGCGAAATTAGTAAATCATATTTACACAAGAGAGATTTCTTTATGTTCTTGCGAATTGGGCTACAGCAATATATATTGTTAACCCTTTCGCGCCGGGGCTTTTTTCAGTAAGAAATGTGCCCGTATCTAATGGAAAAATGGTTTTTCTCACAGTTTGTGAAAAGCTCGTCCGTCTGGGAGGAAAAATAGCTTTCTCATTCTCTGAAAAGTCCGGGACTCAACGACCTCCGCTCTTTACAATATAATTTTTATTAAAAATGTTTCAGCGTGTGATAGGCTTCGAAACATGGCACTACACATAAGCCAACATTGCACCCTTTGCATTTGCACGTCCGTTTTGTCTTTCCATTTGAGAGCTAGAAGTACGTCAGTCTGGAAAGAAACCTGTTCATTCTCGTTGAGGTCGAAGGCTTGGAAATTTAGTAAGTCACGGCAATTCACTTTCACAGTACCACAAGCCCCTATTTTCTTCTGGTGTAATATTTCGAATCGTGCAGGACTGGAATACCAGTTACCAACGTATAAATTATGACCTCTATAAAGGTATTTTTCGATCATTTTCATCACGATGGCACCAGAAACACCTAGAGTCTCATCACGCCCTATGGAAGTTGATAATCCAGTATAGACTACAAAATCTAGGATGAAACCTGTACGACAGTCACACATCACGTAAAGTTTGATACCAAAACGGCTTCGCTTAGATGGGATACACTACTTGAAGTCAAGCCGACCTTTCCAAAGCATCAACTTTCATCAACTACTAGATTTTGATATAGATACATGGTGCTTTCAATTCTTTTCGACAGAGGAAACGAAGTATGAAATGTTTCGCAATTCGAAATACATATTTATTGTAAAAGCATCATCACCATTGGTCTTTCTATCCTTGTAATACACAGGACTCCTCAAACACTTGTGTAAAATTGTCCTTGAAGTTATATTAATACGGGCATATAATGAAAAACCTAGCCGTCCCATATATGTGACACCCGCCGCGAAAGGGTTAAACAGCTGAGGTTGTCTCTTCTATTGAATATCTGATGGAAAGATTTTTGTATTCGAAACGTTACCTTCATAGTAAACTCAAGATGGTTGTCACTCAGATCCTATCCAGCAATAGTAAGTTTTATAAACACTTTATCTTTACTAAAATTCAAGTAATAACATTTCTATTTTGGTCGCTGCACGAGAGTTGTTTTGATGTGTGACATCTAAATTTTGATTAGTAAGAAGTATGACACAACAGCTGATTTTTGTTACAAAAAATTTATATCAGTTGACAAGGGAACGTTTCCATCTATCAAATCGTTTTTGGATCATGTATATTAGGGTGTCAGTTTAGCGTTTCGTTCCCGAGAACCCGGAACGCATTTGTCAAATTATTTATACGTATTTCTAACGTGCGGAAGTGTTTAAATATCTCTTTTCTTTCATTTTGAGGTAAATCAGCATGCGTTCCGGATTCCTAGGAACGGAACACTGCGAGCGTTCTGGGTTCCCGGCAACGGAACCCCATACCGGGTTCCCAAGAACAGAGAACCCTATTCCAACAGATATTTAAGCAGGGTTCTCTGTTCTTGGAAATACGGTATGGGGTTCCGTTCCCAGGAATCCGGAACGCATACTGATTTGCCTCAAAATGACAGAAAAAAGATGTTTAACCACTTCAGCACGTTTAGAAATGCGTATAAATAATTTGACAAATGCGTTCCGGGTTCTCGAGAAACCGAAACCCTCCCAGTGTTCCGCTTCCAGGAACCCAGGACGGATATTGACTTACCTCAAAATGGAAGCAAAAAGATGTTTTACCACTTCAGTATGCTTAGAACTGCGTAGAAATGATTTGTCAAATGCGTTCCGTTCTTTGGGGACGGAACTCCGAAGAACCGGAACCCTGACACCTCTACATGTACAGTCTCAAACGATAGGCCTCAGTGAGTTATCAAACACCTTAGAAAGATTTGGTTTTCCAGCCTTCCTAAGCAGAGATATACGCTTATTATTATTATCAGTTGTGCTGTATTATACAGTACTTATTGCGATAAATTTAATATCTTCACCAAACATATTACGATGGGGCTCAAACCTATATCCTTAGTAAGGCAATAAAGACTGATTAAAATATCAACGTTTGAAGATAAATCAATGTTTTCTATTGATAATATCAATTTTTTCATATAATATGAGATGATTCAATGCATCTAACGTCGAAGAAAAGTCAAGGGGGAAAAACGGTACTCCGCTAACTCCGTCACTCCGCGGAGTTTAACCGGAGTGGACGGAGTAGTGGAGTGATCCGGAGTGACGGAGTGGGCGGAGTAACCCTGGAGTGAATAGAGTTTGATGTTTTCCATTGACGTGCTTTGCTTTCTCAAATGCTGTTTTCATTTGTAGCATTGTTTAGCTCCCATTGTTCCTATGCTCCTAATGTTCTTATAGTTCCTATAGTTCTCAATATTCCTAGGATATTAGAAGAAGGCGGAAACCGCAGACTCCACTTGACTCCAGATGACTCCTTACGGCATATGGAGCCAGGGTGCCTGTTCATTTCCCCAAAATGGAATACTAGTGTTCAGTCCATTTGAGCATACTTTCCCACAATAGGACACTTTTTTTCCGGAAATCGGATGGATTTTCCAAATAAAAGAACAAATGTGTTACATTTTGGGAAATATTCGCCCGAAAAAGAACATTGCTTCTCCTTTGTTAGGAGAAATTCCCAAAAATGCAACATTTTTGTTCGTATATGTGGGAAATTTGTTCCATATTTAGAACAAGTGTCCTGTTTGGGAAAACAAATCTAAAAAGGCCTGAGCTATAATGTTCTGTTATTGAGAAATTTTTTACAAGAAGGCAGATCTAACATTCCATTTCTGGGAAATAAATGGATTTAAGCAGCAGAAGTATTAGGTCTTCGAAAGCCTCCAGTAGACTCCAGTGCATCCCATACAACTTCAACAAGTTTCATAAGACTAGAGACTGATAGAGTCGGCTGTTTTTGCCTCTTGAGATGGCTACACTTGACTTCATGTGACTCCAAGGGACTGAAGTCCGCTGTTTCCCCGTTGCATTAGAAACTACGCGCACTAAAGCAACTACGGGAACTATGGGAACATTGGAGATTATGGGAATTGTGGGGACACTGGGAAGTGCTATTATTATCGCTTCTTTCAAGAACTTGGATTGTTAGCATTCCTTAGTGCTCTGCATACTATTTCCGAAACGACAGTTGATCAACAAATGCGAGAGAAAAGAGTTATAGCAGCTGTCACTCCGTCACTCCGGAGTGGAAGTTCACTCCGCGGAGTAGTGGAGTATGGAGTACGGTGTTCCCCCTTGAGAAAAGTGCATTATGTTTTTTTAATAATCAATTGTTACATGAAAGAAATTGATATCATCAATAGGAAACATTGATTTATCTTCAGACGCTGATATTTTAATCATTCTTTATTGCCTTACTAATGATATAAATTTGAGTCAGATCAGAATATGTTTGGTGAAAATATTAAATATGCTGCAATAAATACTGTGTAATACAGAACAACTGATAATATTAACCCTTTTGCGGCGACATGATTCTACAAGTTTTCCAAAAATGTTTTCCAGAAGATACAGCTCAAAGCAAACAGATACGAAAGTGAATTTTACACCAAATGCAAGTCCATTCAAAACCGGATTTAGTAGTGAGAATCGCGGAAAGTTTCAAAATTTGAGAGGTATAACGGGCGTACCTCCTCAGCCATAAAAAAAGAAGGTTCTTAGAAAATTTTTTCGTTGGGCAGACTTTGTCGAGCTATCTAAGCCGATTATTTTGCTAAGTAACTAATGTATATTATAGTGTGAGCCACCGGTGGCTCACATCGCCGCGAAAGAGTTAATAAGCGTATCTCTCTACTTTGGAAGACTGAAAAACCAAACCATTCTAGCATGTTTGATAACTCACTGAGGCAGATAATCTGAGACTATACAAGATCCAAAAACGATCTGACAGTTGGAAACGTTCTCTCGTGAGCATATTCTTAACGATTAGTCTTTTTGTCAATCGATCTCTACATGCAGTAGAGTTGAAAAGACACAATAATATAGGTTTAATAAATAATACTACATGAATTTTCCTGAATAAAAATCAAGTGAAAGTATGGTAAAATTACCTGTTGGTCGACAGACTTGACCATTATATACTGGTGTTTGAGAGGTTTGTCCAGAGCTACATGGAATCTGAAAGATTTGACGATTATTGGATGGTATCGTGGTGAATTGATATCCTTCAAGAGACGGTTGTTTAGAAAACTGTATCTCTTGTTGTATGCGTCGGATGATATCTAAATACACAAAGGAATAGTCAGCTAGAGTATTCAACACTTCCACAAAAATACTTATAAAACAAAGAATATTCGTTTTCTTTCTCAGCTCAAGTTTAGTTGTTTCCATCCTGTTTGATTTAACGGAAATCAAAAATAATTCTTTACAACGCCAAAAAGGCTGTATAAAAAATAAGTAGAGACATAAGAAATTATACGTATTAGTCCTGATATATTTCTCAATCGCATTTCACAGACAAAAGATATTCTCAAATACCCAAAGTCGACCTTAAAATAATACATTTAGTGAAAAATGACGATTTCTAACTGTATAGTATTTCACCTACTCAGTCTGCTCTGCATATAAGATCCAAAAAATTTTTCAGGTATTTTTAGTGAGCCTCATCACCATGGTGATTACCAGTTACTTACTACGAACTTCTGAAATTCCGACCACCATATTTAATAAGAGCTGAACGAACTTATTACAAAGCGATGTCAGCGGATGATTACTTGGCGAAGACATTTGTTCGAAGATTAGAAATATTCGAATGAGACAATCACTTCGCCACTGGAATGAAAGGTGGAAACGCCATGCCACAGTCAATGATCGTAGTAAATATATTTGTTCGTAGATTAGAAATACTCGAATGAGACAATCACTTCCTATAAATACGTGGTATTGTCGGAAAATTCCGACATCAATACAACTTGGAAATATCCAAGTCCTTTTCTGGATAATTTCCCTACAAAAACACGTCTATTATTACAACGTTACCTTTCTGTCTCAGAACAAACACGAGTTTTGAGCTCAACAACATTTTTTCTTTTCTTTTCTGTTCTGTTTTTCTTTATCTTGTATCATCGTATCAGCATGCGTCAAATGACATGGTTTTTTCCATCTTACACAAAACTTTCTTCTCAGTGGCAGATTTATCAAAATGAAGTCATACTGCTCGAATTTCATCGTTTTCAGATAATTGAACCGATTAAAGTTAGGTGTATCAAGACCTAGAATTGAAGATCCATGTGAAGTGTAAACAAATTGAGGCTTGCTTGAATCGGAAAATAGATCTCTCAATCCAATACTGTTAAGAATCTTTAACTTAATCTTCTGCAATTTGAATTAACTTGCCCAGAACTTAAAGTCAGTTACGAAATCACCGAGTACCAAAAGATATGGATCTGATACGTTTTTAGATAGTTTTCATAGTTCATGAGCATACAGATCTGAATTAGAAATTGTAAATCTAAGTAGTTGTTTCTTGCTCATTTCTCTACCGCCGCTAAAAAATCATTCGAAGAATTATTTACCTGGTAAATGTTAGAAAACTAAATTAGGGTTATCTGGGTATGTGTAAGGTGTTGCCTGGGTAGTGCAGTCCAGGTAATCTGTACGAGTAGCGCAAGGATCACTCGGTGATAAATTCCGATTAGTATTGATGAATGTGGTTTTTCCAGCGTTACTTCGACCAGTCACAGCAATATTGATTATCTGATCATATTGCTCTTGCATTCGTTTTTGATAAATGTGCCGATGTTCTTCAAACTATGTTTTTCCACATATTTTTTGATGATTTGTTTCTCTGCTTCATAATCTGTAAAGGTTGAAGCGTTCTCTTTACATGACCGGCGCGATCTCTATAGTTTATTCCCATATTTAGATCTAGAATAGATGAAATGGAACAATCAAAATTATTGTTTTAAAGCAGCTATATTGAGGCGAAATCTATAAGGGTTAATCTCTATGACTGTTCTTTAAGTTTATTTTTGATGCAGGAGAAGCGCAGTTCAGGAAAAGTTATTTGACTGTTACCTAAATCAGTCCAAAAATTAATAATGAGAAAATAATGGTGATCGTACATCCCGAAATTCAAGATGAAGCGAAAATAATCAAGTATAGTAGTTTCAGAAAATCTTTGATCATCAATAATGTTTTCGTCGTGAAAGTTAGTTGTAAAGCAAAAATATTGTTCATTTTGACCCTTCAGTAGATTGAGATCGTCGGGATGATTCCATAATAGTATCTCTTACTTTGAGAGCAGACTTTTCAGCCTTTTTTAATAACATCCGTAAAACAAATGTCGTTCCCTGTAAATGATAATCCACTGGCAACAACGCTGCTACCTACGATCGATACGCATCACGAGGCTTCCTCAGTGACCAACAGAACCGTTATTGATTTAGCCGCATTGACAATAACCTGAGCAATGCTTTTGCCAACTCGAAGAAGAATCAATGATTCAAGCTGAACTTCAAAATGATTTATTGGAATACCATACTGAGTAGCCAATAGTTGAACACTTTCTCTGGCCACACCCAATTGTCGACAATAAAAATGCATCTCGTGTAAGCATGCACTAAAATCAAATGCTATTGATACACCCGGGAAGAGGTATAGCCGCTACACCAGCCGATAGTTCAGCCACAAAATAGATTCGTCGTCGAAGTGCACGTACCTTTGCATGAATTGCTTGTGCACAATCAGCATTCAACGGAAAAATGATCGCATCCAATTTATCTTTCGGATAGTTTTCAATGAGATATTCCATGAGCTGACCATATTCCCGTTTATCAGTATGCTCTTTTCGTCTACTAATTAAAAATATAGGAGCCTCGTGAATATACTGTCGACACTTTGTTCGAATTCTGATGATCTGTGGAACCTGCATTGCCCATGATAATGAAAAAATCATAGTTTTTAAATCCAATTTTGTCTCGATATTGATGGCGTGGATAATTGGGTGTGTTAACACCTGATGAAACGAAGAAAAAGGATAAATTATTTCTCGATTGTTTATAGAGATTTATCTCATTGGTACCTGGAGCATCCCAAAAAAACAACTTTTCACGCTGCGAATGATTGTAAGATGTTAGTGTTTTGATGCGTTCGATAACATTGACTTGAGCAGCATTTGGGTCGCCTGCTTTTAATCCACGCGCTGTGTTGATAAAGGTAGATTTACTTACTCCACTATTGCCAGTAATACATATATTTAATGGGTGATTTTTCCATTCCGATAATTGGCTCTGCAAATTATTATTTAATGCCTTCAGACCTTCTCTCTGGATCATCTCTGCAATCTCATGCAATTGTGCTTGCTCATCAGAATTTAACATCACAGATTCACCGTTTTCTGTTGGAGATATAACAGTTACCATGATATTCTTGTTGCTGAAAAATCAACTACGTTTCGCAGCATAGCAACACACAATACCATGAGGAAGTTTTTACATACTTTGAGCTATTATTCCAGTTGATTGTTGTAGGGAAACCAGTTGAAATCGACTAATATTATCTGAAAATATGTCAGTATAGAGATTTATAATGATGAATAACACGATTCGGCACTCATACTACTGTAAGTAGTTTATTCCCAAATCAGATTGATCTGATAGAGCCACTTACGAACAGCAATGGTAGTAATAGGGAGGGCGGTTACCGTTACTTTACTAGTAACTGGTAACTGGTAACTGTAGTATATTTTTATTCTCAAGTACAGTAACTGATCGCTGATGGTAACTGCCCATCTCTGTGTTCTAGGGAAGAGAACTTACCATTACGCAGCGAAGTCATTGGCAACTAGTCAGTTATTAGCTTTACTTTGCATCTGTACCAGTTACACGTTACTAACTAACTGATAACTGACCAGCTACCAGTGACTTTGCTACGTAATAGTAAGTTCTCTTCCCTAGAACACAGAGATGGGCAGTTACCGTCAGCGATCAGTTACTGTACTTGATAACAAAAATATACTACAGTTATCAATTACTAGTAACTGGTGACGGGACCAGTTACCAACTACCGGTAACTGTCATCAGTTACCGTTACCTGGTAACATAACTGTCCGGTAACGGTAACTGCCCATCCCTAGATAGTAGCATTGAAAAGATCTAGATTGACATTGGGTACAGGTAGATCACGTTTTGTTCTGAATATTTGAGATTGTTTTAAACGCTGATGTATTGAAAAGGTATATTTTTCTGATGGCAGACGAGGTAAATGGTTGGTATAAAAGTTCGTGTCTTGCTCATGACTGAACTGTAAACCAGACGCCAGATTTTGTGGTTGTGCTTCAGTCTTTAGCATCGGTATGAAGCACCAATAATTTGGAGTACAATCTAAAAACATCTAAATAGCGGATGGACAACGAGCAGAATGTTGGTAGAGTAGCATTTCATCTGCAACAAACTCACTATAAATAATGATTTTCGGTGAAATAAATAATAGTAAGAAATCTAAAAGTCGATTTACTTCAAGGATTTTGGTTGGTGTCGTAGTCGATCAATATTTTCTGCACCTAGAATAAATTCATGAATGGTTCGATTACCTTGCTCACGGTGATGTATTTAGAAAGTAAGAAATATTAATTATTAGCTTACTAACAGATCGTCATTAGAATACTAACAGATCGAACATTCGCCCAATGATCTCGATGTATGACTAACATAATCAAATTGTCCACAAGGACAGGTAAGTGCATATAGAATATTACTTGTCGTACAAGACTAAAATTTAAAGAAAGATTACGAAGGATTTTCCGGTACTGATTATTATTGATGAGCACATATGACAGGACAATTAAGAATAGCTTCATAACCATTAACAAAGCGATGTTTTTGTGCCGAAGAAAACTAGTCAACAGGATTATCTTGTCGAGCTTGAGTTATATCAGTGATTGGAAAACAAAATCGACATAAAACAGTTCGATATGGTGTCATTCCATAAAGTACCTGAGGTATAGCAATACAAAAGGTACCATTACACAGTGGCAACTAAGCGGACATTAGGCCAAAAAGTCGATTTTATCTATCTTGAAATACAAATAGTGCAAAATGTAGCTCTTGAAATTCTCTATCGAATGGTGTATAAACGTCTATTGTGAAACTGAAATGTT